ATAAGCTATATCAGACCAAATCAAAAGAAACTACACTAAATCATATCAAATTTAAATGCAATAGATTTGATCAGATCAGATTAGACCATCAGACCAAACTTAAGATTTTAGTCTAATTAAAAAAATCATTATTATTGTCTTGCAGTACGTAAGAAAATAACAAAGACATCTTATAGGTATAGATAATAGTTATAATGAAGCGTTTTATATATAACTAAAATAAAAACTAAAATAATGACTTATTTACTGTATTAGTAAATCTTAGTCACTATAGTTATGTTTGACTTTGTACTATATGAAGTCATAGTCATAATAAATTGATTAGTCATATTTTTGATGAGTTTCATTCCTGTAAGATTATAACAAAACTTTTTATGGAGTGTGTCGATAAGGAGGCACATCATAGTAACGTGTCATCCTTCAAGATAAATTGAATCTTTTACTTTAAAATTGTCAATTTTTAGTTAGGTGAATTATAACGATTTTATAATTTCATTCATTTTCTATATCCCGGTAGTAATTCTTCACAATTAAAAAGCAGCAATGAACAGTTTGATATTGATTCATTGTTAATTATTTTGTTTATTTTTCAATCTCGATCGGAATGGTATGATGAATGATAAGTATAAGCCATTAAAGAGTCACTTTTTTCTATTGATATAAAATACCCGGTAATAAAATAGGCAACACTAAAAAGTGCATCCACCCAGAATTGACTCGGTACTGAGCCCTCTAGAAGCATAGTTCGAGTTAATTCTAGTAGATGACGATGTTTACGTTCAGTAACCCCATTTTGTTGGGGTGTGTCATGACAAGATTTTTGAAAATAAATATCATTAGACGAGAAAGATTGCTGCATATTATGATTAACAAATTCACTTCCCCATCACTTTGAAATTTTTTAATTTTCTGATTAAAAAGATTTTCAACCAAAATTTTAAAATTTTTAAAGTGCATAAAAACTTCACTTTTGTGGCACATAGGATAAATCCAAGTAAAGCGAGAATAATCATCAATAAAACATACATAATACTTGAAACCCAATTTAGACCAAACCGGAGATTGCCACACTTCATAATGAATAATTTGTAACGGAAGAGAACAATTATGACTAGCATCCATAAAGGGCAAACGTTGTGATTTTCCTAATCGACAAGCAAGTGAAGCAACACAAGCATGGGTAAAAGGAGAGTTATTACATAAAAATTAAAAATTGTTGACGTCTAAGAAACTGTAAAAAGTTCTCACCACACCGACCTAGTCTACGGTGCCACACAAGGCCAAAAACTAAAACAGATGCTAATGCTAAAGGCGGAGATGACGGCAGACTGAGAGGATAGAGTGGCCCACTACTGATAGCTCGCAGAAGCACCGCCCCCGAGGCTTTGTCCTTAACCAAAAATGATTTTTTATCAAAAATGTCAATGCAGTTGTTATCAGTGCATAGTCTCTGAATAGAAATTAAATTGTACTTTAACTGAGCCACATGATAAACAGATTTTAATGTGAGGGGCCGACCAGATGAAGGTAATGCAACATCACCAACATGACAAATGGGTAAACGGGCACCATTAGCAACATTTACAGAATTATAGCCATTGTAAGCAGATTTCATCATTTCCATCATTTTCATTTACCCCAGTGCCGCAAAGGCTCCGCACCTACAGTGGGGTAGGGGGGTCGGATGTACGCAGTCTTACCCCTGTACTAAAGCACAGAGACACTGTTTCTGGATGACCCATAGTGAAAATCGCGTCCAAAATCGCATGGACTGACTGCTGCTTCATGAAAAAGAAGCGCATACAGTTTAGTGACCATTTTGCTCTATTCCATCATATTCTCAAGCCAAAAATATAATGAATCTTTGGCTCCATTGCAAATGATGGAAAATTGTAAGCAGATTTATTAATTAAAATACCTTCTTATGCAGTCATGTGAGCAGAAGCTCCCAAATCAGGATACCATAATGCCGAATTAGATTCACCAGAGGTAGTCAACAAAGCTAGAGCAATCGGCTGTGTGAACCGAGAGGGACAAACAATAGTAGAGTAACTTGCAGACAAACAAATTTGACACGACACGATGGGGAACTGCCCCAAGAATACGCCCATCAGATGGCGAGCCTGCGAAACCAAAGTTAGTAGCACAAACAGGTAATGCATTAATATTCAAAAGAATGTTTTAAATCCCGAACATCAATAAGAACATCTCGAGAAAGAGTTGCAAACAACCAAGACGTTTGGTTTTTGATCAATTCGTAACCAAGTAGAAAATTTGGGATTGGGAATTTGACGGTTTAGAATATCTATGGAATAAGCGGGAGGTACCTGAATGAAAAAAAAAACTCGAATTGGGTCCGCCATATATGTAGTATAATCTTCTAGAGCTAGGAGTTTTGTAGTAACTATATTGGTGACATTGGTAGGCACATGAGATATGGTTTGAGCTAGTTCAACTAGATAAGACCCGACCGTGGGGGTTGCTGTTGAGCGAAGATGTGGAATAGTAGATGAGACCCCTGGCGAGCCGACAAACTTAGAGCCTGAAAACGATCCAGTCGAGAAGGGGGGTGGATTCAAGGTCACGGGCTGCACAGGAGACGGAGTCGGTCACGGGAAAACTGGTTTCAAATTCCGGAAGAGAGAATATGGCATGTTGCGGCTCGGCGATGTGTAGCTGGACGAAAATATTACACAGGACTCAGTCGAACAAGGAGGCGGCTGCGATCCCACAGTGTCGGGAGCGCTGACCGTGACGGCTGGAGAAGAACCATGCATGACGTCAGAGGAGGAAGCCATCTTGAAGGCCGCCGATGAAGGATGGGTGACACCGACCATGGTGGAGGGAACCACCGTAGAGGAGGAAGCGTTGACGGTAAATCCGGAAGAGCTTATCGCGGCAGGGTAGGGTAGGCTGAAAAAAATAGGGGTTATTTTGTGCTTTTGATACTATGTGAGAGAATGGAATAAGATGCTCTCTAAAGAGCTCTGGCAGATATATTTATAGGGAAAGAGTCTAAATGTAAAATACATAAATATCCCTATTTTATTACAATTTCCATATCTTCAAGGAACTTATGGGTTCGTTGTTGGCGATAAAAGGTGTCTTTTTACATTTTATCATGTTGTGGACATGAAACATGTTTTAGAAGGCTGCCCGTGGCTATTTGAAAGAAATTTGTTGATCCTAAAAGAGGTTAAACCAGAGGATATTCCGCTCAAAATTATCCTCTTGAGACTGAATTTTGGATACAAGTTCATAATGTTTCTTATAGCTTCATGAATTTAGACATTGTTAGAAGAATTGGTAATTTTATTGATAAATTTATTGGCTATGAAGCCTATGATGAGAACCAATTCGACGAAAAGTGTGAAGCTTACTTGCGTGTTAGGGTCTGAATGGATGTGGGTAAACCCATGAAAAAGGAAGAACTCTTAAGAAAGGAGGGATTGGTCACTGGGTAGAATTTATATATGAAAAGCTACCCAACTTTTGTTTTATCTGTGGAATTATTGGTCATTCTGATAAATTTTGCCCATTGACATATGAGGATAACCTAGTTTTGGAAAAAACTTATGGAAGACTACTCCTACAAGAGGAAACAAGTGGCTTGTGGAAGGGTCTTCTAGCTCAGGGTTGGGGTTTTCACAAAAGGAGGACACCAAGACGAGAGGTGAAGCATGAGAGTGAGGTTGGAGGGAGTCCACGTCGGGCATGGGTAATAGCACGACTAAAGACGGGGAGTTTGGAAGCACTGAGCAAATGTCAGGGGAACAAAAGCGCAAGAGGATCTGAGAAGCTCAGGTTCAAGAGGATCCAGTTGGTGATAACATGTCTTTGGACAAGTCAAAAAACGGAGAGGAGGCGGACTTCGATATTTAGGCCTGCCGAAGCATCAGAAGCAAATAGAAGGCTTGGGTGCGTGGATGAGTGTTGTTTTTTGATTTTTTTTAGCATTCTATTTATGTCCAGTCAAGGATCAGTGAGTTATATTGCTTCTCTAGAGGTGATTAACTCTGAGTCTCATTCGAGGGCAAGCGGTTGTCAACAGTCTTTTTGTATCTTCATCCCATATCCAAATGTTGTGATATCAATTTAAGTCTACTTCTTAAAAAAACAATACTTTACACTTAATATTAATTGCTTTCAAAATATATTTTGTGTATTTGCAACTTAAGTTAATTCTAAATACATATTTGTTTCATTTCTTATTTAATTCTATTGTTAACATAATTTTAAATATATTACAAAATACTTCATATGTGATTAAAATTTATTTTTAGCAACATAAATTTAAATTTTATCTACCATGAAAGTTTTACGTATGACTAGTCCTGGACTCGGGCCGGGTGGCCCGACCCGTAACCGGCCCGGGACCGGTACTGTGCTGAACCGGCTCGGCCCGGTGGCCCGGCCAGTGACCGGTCCGGGTAGGCCCGGCCCGGGGGGTTCCCGGTGCGGGCTGGGGTCACCCAAAAGTCGAACCGGCACGGCCGGTTCAGGCCCAGTTCCGGGCTTCTTAATTTTTTTTCCCCAATGTTTTTTAACTTTTTGGTTTGGGCTGTGTATTTTGGGTCATTTGGGGTGGTTTGGGGGGTTGGGGTGGGGTTTGGGGGTTTGGGCTGGGTTTGGGGTGGTTCCCGGGTTAATTAGGAAAAGGAAAAAAAAAATGACCCGAGACCCGGCCCGGCCCAGACCCGGTGGCTACCCGGGCCCACCTATTCAGAACAGGCGGCCCGCCCGGGCCTAGGCCCGGACCCAACCCGGCCCGAATCCAGCCCTACTTATGACATCATACTTTTTTTGTCCAAAGAATATTTTGTTATTTATAATTGATTGTACACTATTTTTCTTAATGTGTTCATTGTTTATGACGTGTGACTGGGTGAGATAACTGATAACCAACGTGAGTTCACCCTCACTTACAAAAACTCCTAGATTTCACTGCAGATATTCACTAGTTTGTGCTCCTTAATCTTTGCCTAAATTCGTGAGTGTCCATTTTCCTAAATTGAATAATTTATAACACGAGCATATGAGAGAAATATTAATTCACAAAGTGAACTTACACAACCTTTAAATATCCAAGGAGTCAATTATCGCTTGTTTGAACTCCAACAAAAATTACAAGTAAAATTTCAGCTCATATATATTACGGATCCCCCCTGTATAGCATAGCGACTTAACAAGGAGGCTTCTTCCATAGCTGCTCTTCATATCGTTTCTAAGTCTGCAACTCTCTGGGGCGCTCATGATTGCACTTCTTGCATACCATGTTTTTTCTGTAATTCAAGAAGTCACATCTGCAGAAAGGATCCCCAATCGGCCAATCCCCGCTCAGTCAGATAACTAAAATTGCGGCCAATTGATCCGCGGTAGATCTCATTTTCACTCTATGTCTGTAACTTGACTATTTGAGCTATAACACCGGACTTAAAATTTTTTAAAAGCATATGCTACCTTCTATAAAACTTGGACAACCTTTCCTTTTTGCATGTTCAAAAAAATTTTGTCATTTTCTTTTAGAACTCATTGGTGACCCTGTTTTTCGGCTTATCAGTCTTATCAGCCAACAATTCCACCAAACATGTAACTTTTGATTACGCACGCTGAATTGTGTAATAATAAGAAAAAGTAAAGTTATGGTTACTTTTATGGTTGTATTGGCTAAATTATTGTACACAAACATTTCAACTATTTTTTCATATAATTCTTTCTTCATTTGATTAATAAAATATATTATAAATATAATTTTTTCATAAATCAACAGAATTAGTCAATCCAACCACCTCAGTCAGAACTTCATAAATTTCAATAAAATCAAGCAATATAGCCGATTTAGATATTACCAAACGGGCTCTTAAAGTAACTAATTTGTGGCTAATGTTATTTCTCTCTTTTCTGCACAAATATGAACCACACAATTTTTAGTTTTTACTTTATTATTCTACGTGCAAATCAACATCGGCCAAGTCAACTTTCTACTTCATTTTTAAGCTCAAAACTAATTTAAAGCAACATTATATTTATGGGACAAAAAAAGTATTCCGTAAAAAAAGTGATTGCATAGAAAATATCGTAGTATGCATTAACTATTAAAATAAATACTCCCTCCGTTCCGGATTGTAAGACACTACGGTTTACGAAGTTTGAGCGACGATAAAGCAAAAAAGCTTTATAAAAAAGAATTACATATTCAGAAACTACATTAAAAGCTTTACAAAGTCGCAAAAACTAGAATCAAATTTCATAAACATTTGATATATAAAGTAAGAGATTAAGAGTGATTTGTATTGACCAAGTGAATAGGAAAAGTATCTTACAAAATGGGACTGAGGATATATTTCAAGCAAAAATAGTACTATATCCATCCTATTTTTAATGTATGCTTTTTTTGGGTTGCCCAAAAATATGAATTTTTTTTTATAAATTGGGTGCTTAACTTTTTAGTTTCTCCCTTTTCCCTCTACCAAGTACCAACCATTACACCAAATACAATTGTACTGCCATGTAGTTAATGCAGATGGCCTGACTAATCACATAAGCATTTGTAACAAAATTAAAATGTACTCCGATGATCAGCAAAGAGGAATATACTTACGAGGGACAATTCCACTCCCCGGGATTCAGCCCACGTTTGAGCTGTGGCTCTGTGCACCTTTTACAGCTACTTCTGCTGGCAAAATTAATGAACTCGCATCTGGAGAAAGTCAAATATGAGAAATCCCCGGGGAGGTGGGAAAAAAGGGTAATAGTGTAATACATGGTAGCAGTGGAAAAGAAAACGAACAAACTTCTATTTTCAAATGCAGTACAAAAAATCCAGTCCTATATCTTGTTCTATCCACAAGAGTAAATATTACCCTTCATGATTTCTACGTTGGTGGTCTTGCCCCCAATGTTAAACAAAACAAATAAATATCATATTCTCTCCAAGTTTATCCAGCATTTATCCCCTTCGTATCGATAGAGTAAGCGTCTTTTTAGAAGTCAGGGAATGAGAAGGAAATAAAATAGAGAGGGTGATACACTTAGAAATTTGGAAGGGAATAAAATAGAGAGGGTGATACACTTAGAAATTTGGAAGGAAATAAAATGTTCGAGAGAAACAAAATCTTGGCTCAAACTAAATATATTTACTTTTGATTGGTATTCGAATAAACTCTTATTTGTTTGTTGATACTTCCTCCATCCCACAATAACTATTGCAGTTTTTCGGTCTAAGAAAGTGTTTACAGAGTTGAGAAAAAATACATTATTCAGTCAAATAGACTGCTTGAGAAATAAGACAATCAGACAAAAGGAGAGAGCAACACCTTGTTGGGGTATTAGGCCCAATAACAGGCCGGCCCAAAGACCACCAACAATCGAGACAGCACGATGGACCCAGCACCCAGCACTCGTGTACGGAACCGAGTCAGGGTTGGTCGAGATACCCATCTTGACCACGTGTCTCAGACGGGATGCGACACTTGGAACTTTCTCATCTGCAACTTTCATGCAATCAGTCTGCCAAACCATGGAGTTGGCGGGAAGCGCATTTAGTGCACCAAATATGGAAGATTTTATGGTCGGGGTAAGGCACTAAAGGCTCGCCATGTCACCTCCCCAACCTACTACCTTCTAGTATAAATACCCCAATTTATTTCATTGTAAAGGGTTGACAAATTTGCATTCAATAGTCTAGTCTCTCTACTCTTATGTAAGCTCTCAGCTTGGAAAAGAGGTTAAAGGCTCAGGCCCGATAAGGGTGTGTTGTGACCGTTCTGCATAAATCGAATAGAACGTGACACACTTTACCTTTTCTTCCTTGTTTTGCTTATTGTCATCTATTTAATCATCAACTGACTAAAATAATCACTCAAATATTTTCGCGTAAATAAAGATCCGACGAGTGATGTGGGTAGAAGATCAAGTTATACACCTGTCAAACGAGTTGAGAGGTGTGGAGAAGAGAGGATGACCCAAACAGACAGGGATTAGAGGAGTCGGGAGTGTTATGCTTCTTGGGTTGGATGAGGGTATGACTTTGGAGAAAACAAAGTGGAGGGCCGGTATTCATGTGATGGAGTGATCTCTTATACATATATATTAGGGGTGGGCGAAAATCCCGGTACCGGTGTCTCAAACCGAAAAATCCTGATACCGTTCTGAAACTATCCTGATCCATTTAGGATGCAATTTTTTCATCCCAAACCGGTCTTGTACCGATATTCACCGGGACGGGACCGGGATAGCTATAAAATATCATATCCCGTCCCGGTGTCCCGTTTGAAATTAGTAGGTTATTTTAAATTTCTAATGCTATGTAATAGTCAAACCCAATTAAAACTTTCTAGCCCTTAGTCTCCGTATTGTAATTTTATCTTATTTCATGTCTCTCTTAGTCTCGTTTCTTTTAGTTAAAATTTGTTTAGTTCTCATTCCGATACTACTCCATATATAATATATTACTACGTGTTTAATATTATTTATGATGGAATAACTACTACTCCAAAATATAGTGTTGTTATAATTTAATATTTTTCAAAATAACCATTATAAAATATATAATCTTTATCGATATGATATTTAATTTAATGTGGTATTGAAACATTACAAGTGTACTACAAAGTATAAAAATATTTTGCGCTACTATTCTACTAGAGGAAACACAAGATTGGGGGGCCAACAAATTTACAAGCCAATAATTAAAAAATAGTTAATTAGAGGTTTTACTTATCTTTTTAGAGAAGCTAAATTTACAAAAATAGTTACGCCTTTATTTTGATGTTATGCTTATTTTTATATCACATTTCACAAATGCTTAACATCCGACCCCCTCTTACAGTCTTACCCCACCGTAGGTGGGAGCCTTTGCGGCACTGGGGTAATGATGTCATGATGAATCATGAAGTAAAAGTGTACAATATATAACGGCCAACTTCCAATGCAAATTAAGTCAGGCGATGTTAGGTCATGGTTATGTTTTCTTATAACACCTAAAATGAGCTTTACTAAGAGTATAAATTACAGTGGGTAATGCTGAGTGAACTTACTTTGTGCACTTCCAATCTCCTTTTCTCATTTCAGTATCATTATTACCGAGTAATCTCTTCGGTCTGTCCTCACTTAGATTTGGTTGTTGATTGGGCTGTGGCTCAGTGCAAATTCTACAGCTACTTCTGCTGGCAAAATTTATGAACTCGCATCTGGAGAAAGTCAAATATGAGAATCTACGTCAACCATGGTGACAAAAAGGGAAATACAATGTAGCAGTGGAAAGAAAACTTTATATCCCATAAAGATAAGTTTGTATTTGATTTTGGTCCACCTCACAAAGACAGTCTAGTTTCTATATTAGGTGTCCATTGCCCCTATTTAAGTTGTTCATTTCAAAACTCCAAGATGGGCATAAATCATTAATTAAATTTAATGTAGGATAAAAGTGAGAATTACATATGAAGTTAATGATTCCAACTAACTCAACAACAATTTCTTGATCCTCATGCAATTAGATACTAGCCTATGCCTGTTTTTTGGGAGGAGAGTGTGTATATTGATGGTCTTAGTGTCTTACCACCACCACCCTCTTCAATGCTAAAATCTCATATCAATCACATATTTTCCTCAAGTTTATCTAGTACTTGTTCTTCTATATTGAGGGATCAGTAATGGAAGAATCAACTTCCGGGAATTTATGAACAATGAAAACATTGACAAGGCAATTTTGAACTTGATTGGGTTCAACTGCAAAAATCAGATATTCAGACATACTTCCAATGCAAATCAGGTCAGACAAGATTAAGTCAAGAACTCAAGACTCATTAGCAATACCTAAAATGAGCTGCAGTTAAAGGATATTACAGTGGGGTAAGGCTTACTGGACTTACTTTATGCACTTCCAATCTCCTTTTCGCATTTCAATATCATCACCAAAAAATCTTTTTGATGCCTCTGCTTTGCATTCCAAACACTGCATATTCTTGGCGTAGTTCATAAAGTTGCACCTACAAGAAATCGCATTAACCATAAAAATAGGACATTGAGAAATATAAGCTGTGAGAATAAGTACTAAAAATTATGGCAATACATGAAAAGGAATTAGCATAAAGGTTTAAAGGGTGTGTTTCATTTCAGCAAGCATCAAGGGCATGTTTGAAACCCAGAAACTGCGAGGGAAAAGAAAAAATGGCTCAAAATCAACAAATCAATTTTAGATATTTGTTCAAACTCATTTAGTTATACAATTCTATTATAAAAAGAATAAATATCTTTACACACGAAAAATGGTACGCTCTAACCAATTTTCACTATCCTCTGTATTTCCGAGGAAAAACCATCAACCAAACCGAAAAAATATCTTCCATAGTACGGGAGTATATATTTTTCCACTCCAAGCCTTTTTTCTGGGAGTAACTTCCAAGCATAACCTAAAATACATTACAACACTCTAAAACCAAGGAAGGAAACAAAAGGTGACGGTAAATTGGCAATATACTACTTGGGATTAATAATATTAAATATGACGAGCTTAGCGATTGCAGCCCACTTGATATACAAAGATGTATAAATTTTCATTTTCATGATCCAAGAAAAACCACAATATGGAAAAAGAAAACGGAAAGTAATAGCCAACTTACTTGGAGCATATCCAATCTCCTTTTTTCATATTAACATTGTCCCTGCCAACCTTTTTCCATGTACTTATCCTACAGAAGCATATGACCTTTAGCATGAGTTATGCAAGTGCATTGTACAATTAACAAATAGAGAAGTAGAAACTCGCCTACTTTATGGGATAGAAAAGGAAATGGTTACTTGTTAAAGCTCTCTACATATAATGTAAATATAAGATTTGTTGATGTTGATTCTGTATCTAATTGACTCTCTTTGGAAATTGATACTAGAACCTTTTAAGTCTGAGAAAGCGAATCTTTTTTCCTTGTTTGACATTGTGTCTTTACTTTATTGTAGGAGAAAGAGGCCAACCTTGGATTGTTTCCATAACTTACTGAATTAAACTTATTCCTGTGTAAAAAGGCCAAAAATGCAAAGTGAGATCATTTTGCGATAAAAATAATATAAATACACAAAGCATGTATCTGTGTGTACGCAAAACATGTTATTTTATAACTTGCACACATACATTGTGTTTTAATTTTATGTATGCTTTTAAAAAGTTGATGTATGGCTTAATCACTTTATTATGTATGTGTATGGAGTTGTTACTATATAGTGATGCTGTCAAATTAGCACCTCTCAATATATTTAATCCGGAAATTAAGCCCTCCTACTTTGCAAACACACAATTGAGCACCTTAACTTCTTAAGAACACTCAATTAGCATTTTTTATAGGTTCCTCCCGGTTGCCAGTAAATATCCCTTAATTGTCTGCTAGGTGGATTTTCTATTTTATTTTTCTTTTATTTTTTTCTCATTTTCTTTTTAAACTCTCACTTTCCTTTCCGAGATGTCCCAAAATTAGGTTCTAGCTTCTCTTTTTGGTAATATTTGAGTGGAAAGGTACATCAATGAATAGTAATTTTTTCTACCATACTTTTCTGAAAGGGCATAAGTCAATGAATACGATTATTTTTCATAAAAACTCATGAAGTCAAAGTAGGAACTTAATTGCGGGATGAAGGGAATATTATGTATCTTAATACATAAATAGAAAGATGATTTTTGAGGGATTATAAACTCATCATCATCATCACCCCAGTGCCGCAACAGCTCCCACCTACGGTGAGATAAGGGGGGTCGGATGTACGCAGTCTTACCCCTGTACTAAAGCACAGGGAGACTGTTTCCGGGTGACCCATAGTGAAGATCGCGTCAAAAATTGCATGAACTGACTCCTGCTTTACAACAAAGAAGCGCAAACATTTTAGTGAACCATTTTGCTTTACTTCATCATATTCCCAAGACAAAAAAGAGTGAGGTGTTGTTCTGTTCGTCTTATTCTTATTACTTATTGCTTATTCTTATTTTATTCAGATCAGATCAGATCAGATCAGAAAAATTCAGATCATATCAGATCAGATCAGAAAGATTCAGATCAGATCAGATCAGATCAGATCAGAAAGATTCAGATCAGATCAGAAAGATTCAGATCAGATCAGACCAGATCAGAAACATTCAGATCAGATCAGAAACATTCAGATCAGATCAGATCAGAAAAGTTCAAACATGATTTATCACTTGTATTATTATATTAATTATTATTATTAATATTGTTATTACTATTATCATTATTATTATTATTATATAATTATTATTAATATATAATAATAATATGATAAAGAAATAAGATATTAATAATAGTTATAATATTTTAATATAATAATAGTAATATAAATGCAATTAATAAGAAGACTATTATTATTATTATATTTATGATTAATATTATTATAATATTATATTATAATTAATTGTAATTATAATTATAATTACAATTATAATTCTTATAATTATAAGTATAATCAATTGTAATTATTATAATTATATCTATAATTAATTATAATTATAATAATTATAATTATGATTATAATTATAATTATAATATAATATTATAATAATATAGTAATACTAATAATAATAATAATCGTATTATTATTAATATATTTTAATAATAATATTAATATAATAATATCGTTATGATAATATTAATTGTATTTATAGTACTTTTATTATATTATAATATTATAATTAATGTTAATATAAATATAATTATTATTAATTATAATTATAATAATTATAGTTATATTATTATATTATAATATTTTAATTAATTTTAATATAATTATAATAATTATTAATTTTAATTATAATAATTATAATTATAATTATATTATAATTATAATTTATGATTATAGTTATTTTTATTATTATTATTATTATTATTATTATTATTATTACTACTACTACTTTTGTAATTATTTTACGGAGTAATTATAATAATATTGATAACTATAGTTACAATTATAGAGATAAATATTGTAGTTATAATTATATCTATATTTATAATTAGTGTAATATGTATAAATTTTTTTCATTTTAAATTTAATGTTAATTATTATTATTATTATAGTTACGATTATAATTATAATTTTATTTAAATTATATTTGTAATTGCAATTATAATAATTATAATTATAATTATAATCATAGAAACATTCAAATCAGATCAGATCAGAAAGATTCAGATCAGATCAGAAGGATTCAGATCAGATCAGAAACATTCAGATCAGATCAGACCAGATCAGAAACATTCAGATCAGATCAGAAAAATTCAGATCAGATCAGAAAGATTCAGATCAGATCAGAAAGATTCAGATCAGATCAGATCAGAAAAATTAAGATCAGATCAGATCAGAACTTAAAAAATTCAGATCAGAAACATTCAGATCAGGCGAAGAGAACAGCTTCTGAGTCTTTGGATCCATTGCAAATGATGGAAATCACATACGGCATTTTGTGGGAAAAAAAATATAAGAATTAGAATCAGTCTTAGAACACGTCCACATGCTACTCCAAAAATGGATTCTCAAGTGTGTAATCATATTCTCCAAAGAAATGTATGATTTCAAGTGCTTCTTTGAGGAGTATAACTAAGTAACTAACTAAACAAACACCACCATAATCTAGCTACCATGATCTTTATAACACAATTTCTCATGTTACCCAACTCTTATAAAAATTTACTAAATTTATTCTTTCAAAACAACATATAAAACACACACACAATGCTTTGAAGAAATATTGATATAAAATCGATTTTCTGTCCAACAAACGAGCTTCAAAGACTTACTTGTGACCCGTTAAGTGTTCATGTAGTTCATCACTTTCCAAGCCTTTGTCAACCATGTAACCAGTACTTCGTTCCATTTCAGGAGAAGTTATGGGAATAGGCTTTGTTAGTTTAGGGTCTATTGGTGTTTCACTCAGCTCAACCAACTCCAACAGCAATTTTCTGACAGATGCTTCAATTTGTTCTCTTCTGGGAGGAGGCTTCTCGTCCCGTGATGTTACAAGTGGATCCAACGCATACAAAACTAGTAGACGTACAATATCAACTGTACGTGCAGATCCTTCAGATTCTTTTAATATTACATTAGCCCTATCACATGAGCCCCGCAAATTGCATGCATCACATGCCTGCATATACATGCTTCATTAAGTAAGCTATGAAGATGCCAGTTTACTCATCATTATTATTATCATTACCCCAGTGCCGCAAAGGCTCCCACCTACAGTGGGGTAAGGGGGGTCGGATGTACGCAGTCTTACCCCTGTACTAAAGCACAGAGAGACTATTTCCGAATGACCCATAGTGAAAACCGCAACGAAAATTGCATAGACTGACTTTTACTTCATAACAAAGAAGCGCAGACAGTTTAGTGAGCCGTTTTGCTTTATTCCATCATATTCCCAAGCCAAAAAATAGTGAGTCTTGCTCCATTGAAAATAATGGAAAGAAGATGCTAGTTCACTAATAGGGTTAATTACATATACCTCTCCATAAGTTTTCAATTACCTAACTGTCCCTGAAGTAGTCTATTACATATAGACCGTTTCAGTAGTCATATTTTTATGAAACATAATAGAATCTAATGATATTAACTTGAATAAAAAAATTCAGGCTGAATTTTGTTTTTTAATTGTGATTTATCGATTAAGATGTTAGATATCATTTTAGAAACAATAAAATCTGGGATAATTGTTAAGAACAATTTACTCTGAAACACCCAATTTCTACTAATTTTATAATAGTGTATCATCTTTCTTTGTAATTTACGAAGTACTATCCTCCGTCTCTTTTTAATCGCAACATGTTGAATTTAATACTATTCACATGTTCTACTTTGACAACATATTATATTATTATTTTATGAAAATTATTTTTTTAAATTATATTGTTCAATTCATCTCATTACAAATTTTCAAAATCTAATTTTTAAATATTTTTTAGTAATAGGAATTAAGATATAATTACGGTCAAAGATGTGTGTTGGCAAGTGTGAAATGTTGACTGTTGCAACTAAAAAAGAACGGAGGAAGTATATGACTTGTAGGTTGTATTTAAAATTTCATAATCCTTGAGGATCATTTAGTAGCTTGACCAAACTCCACGTTGGTAGATGTAATTAACACAACCTTAGGCTGTCCGCAACCCGCTGGAGTCAATAAATCAAATTCGCCACCTTTTTATACGTATTCACTCAGTCAATCAGTTTTTCTCTGCAACCCAACACCGTCAATATATTCACCCAACACATTTTTTTTAAAAGAAATGTATACATTCTTACTTTTATTATCACACATCAATCATATGACAAATTGTTTTTTACTAATCATTATGAATTAAAAAGTCAAATATTTCGATGTAAAAAAATATTTTTTTTGGAAGGTATTAAAATTTGCACACATGACCTTAATTTCAAATAAATTGGAGTTTCCATTCAAAATATGTACTCCTATATTGGATCTACCTAAAAATGTTTTTTTTTTAAATTTAAGCCAGCCCAAAAGTATGAAGAAAAGAAATCCAAGCGCATTCCAGCGAGTCCAGGGCACCGCCTAATTTGAACCGTGCAAACCTCCTGCAAAATGCTGCTGACTCTTGGGACCCACACTGCTGCCAACTGTTGGCTTCCTCCTTTTGTGCAGCGGCTAGTGGAAATGGTGGGTCAATGTACCCACCGAAATTTTCCCAACTGGTGCCATGCATCCACTTTTGCACCCAACAATACATGGGTTGCAATACTTCTTTGGGGTGAAAAGAATGAATTTGACTTATTCAACTATGGGTTGCAATCAGCCTTATAAACTAAAAAAATAGATCTGTAGGGTGCAAACTTACCTAGAAGTGGAACAAACAAAATAATTATAAAAAGTAAAGAATGACTAAATAAATGAAAAATAAATATAACACCTAACATACATGTCTTTCATTGAGCTGTAGATACACTCTCAACCTTTTTGCAGAATTAACAGCCTTCCGGAATAGATTAGGACATCCCTTTTCAACCACTGCTTGCATATCATGGGTAGGCAACATTCTGCAAAAAATCCACACACACACAAAAAAAAAAACTTGTAAAGAGCATTTGGAGCATCTATTTAGAGCATTTGGTTAGAGGAACATGTATGTTAAAAGCTTCACCCTTGGAGTCATCGCTTTACAACTAAAAAGGACAATTTCCCCCAGCTCACCAGCTAATAGTTAAACTAATGACTTAAAGAGTAACTTTTAAAGTACAAATATTGCAAACATGTTTTTTATTGTTATAAATAAATTAATGAAAACATCTTCCATTTTGAATACTTGCAGTGTACATCAGCTGTCACAATTCTGCTAGTTTTACTACTCACAGAAGAAGTAGTAGTAGTAGTAGTATTGTGTGTTTGTGATTGAATATTTTATATCTTCAAAAAAAGATATAATTGAATCATCTTCCTCTACGTTTTACCAAATGTAATTGAATCATCTTCCTCTACGTTTTGAGCTCTAATATTTGCATTTATACTGATGATGGATGCCAAACAGTTACTGCAGAAACACCATATGTTTAAGGTGTAATAAAAAACACAAATCAAAAAAATGAAAAAGTGAAGAAAGCATTGAAGAAGAAGAAGAACTTACCTCAAAATGTCAAAACGGTCACGAGCGAAATTTAGATAAGCATTCTTCAATATATTCGTTTCTCTATAAACAGACACATCACAGGTAACGACAGAAGAAGAAGCATCGGAGATTTTAGGTAAGTAACCTTTGGTCTTCAAACAGTCAACAAAATTTATCCATTCTGGCCAAGGGTGCCGAACATTGACATCACTTTCAGAACTCTCGACGGGAAATGTGAGGACACAGTCGGCCGCGGATGCAGACGAGCAGTGGCCGCGTAACAATACGATTCGGTTGGCGAGGAGGAAAGGGGATGCAATGCGTGGGCAGCGGTAGAGCTGGTTCCGGAAAATTGAAGCTCCGTGAGAGCCAAAAAATATGGAAGCTGACATTTTTGTATTTGAGAACTCAAGGACGGCTGGCGTTTTAGATTGGGTGTAGGGAAAACTGCATAATTTGAAGGGCATTGCAGGGAAAACTGCATAATTTGAAGGGCATTGCACAATTTTAAGGGTATGTTTTCAAAAAAATGATTTTCATTTTTTGGTTTAAAAAGGTCGAATGTTTGTGAAATAAAGAAGTTGGAGAATAGATTAAAGAGATAGATATATTATTAAGGGAAAACCGTCAAATAGGTCTTTGTACTATTCCAAAAAAGTCAATTTGATCCTTGTACTTTGAAAACACTCAATTAAATCCTCAAACTTTTAAAAATCATTCAATGTGTTGTTTTGCAGGTAGTTAACCGGTTTCCTTGGTTAACTGCACATGTGGCGGCCTACCTGGCAGCTTTCGTGACATGTAATTTCCTTATCACTTTCCTTTTATTTTTATTATCCTTGTTGGTCCCAAAATAAGGATGTATTGAACAGCAAAATACGATCTATGACAATATAGGTAAGGTCTAGATAATTATATGATCAATCTAAGAGCAATAGAGCCTTACGCTATACTATCGAGAAGTATGAAAACCTTTTAGAGAATAAAATAGTACTGTATTGCTGATTATTCTTGGTCCTGTACCACAAGTACGCGTATATATAGGCGCTGGTACAGGTACCGAGAATGGTAACCTAGAACTCTGGGCCTAGGCCTTTTTGGGCCTTAAACCCTTAGTTGGATTTATTACATCATAAATACATTAAAACGTTAATCTATTCTAGATAAATAAACAAGACATCAGACAAGCTTGATCACAATTAATATTTTTCCTCAACATTCTCCCCCTTTGTGATCAAGTGCCGTCTTGCTTCTTCTTCTCTTCACTTTTGAGCTTTATAATAATTCTTTCTGAGATTAAGTGCGTGCTCATAGTTTCTGAGTGAATTTCTTCTATCAAGTTGCTTTTCGATGGCCTGTAGGATGTTGTCAATTCTGTGTGCCTCTTTTAATTCAGCATCTGTGGCATCTGCATACTTCTGCTGTCTTTCTTTAAATGCTTCTCTGATCGGTTGCAGCTTCTCTTTCACAATTTTCAGGGTTCCGTCACAGTATTTGTTAATTTCATCAATGAATAGCATACGTTTCTCACCATTGTGGTTCAGATAGATAAGCGTGATTGGACTATCAAAGATGTAATACTCAGGAAAGTCTTCCAATTCTTGTCCATACAACTTTGGTCTTGTGAGATTCGTCTTTGGCATGTTTGTTTCAAGAGCCATCTGAAGATCATGAGAGGCAAAGAATTTGATTTGTCTGATCATAAACCGCTTGAGTGCATCCAGCCCATCTTGTGTAGTTTTGTCACGAATGCCTGGAATTTCCTGGAATGCAAGATACATCTGATAGATGTCGTCCATCTTTAGCATGTAGAGATCATTTTCCTTGCACGTGAATACCGTTCCGTCAGAGCGCTGAAGATGGTAGACAGAGAGTTTGATATCTTGAAAGTTGGTTTCAGCCACATTGAGAACAGCCCAGACAGGGTCCTTGGCTGTTTGAAGTTCGTGTTGCCAGACTTCTCTCTGTTTTCCCATATAGTGATGACTAAGTAGAAACAACTGTCCGCCCTTGTTTTGTCCTCGTAGATGGTTAAGGCCACAAATCTTCAGTTCATCCAGTTCTCTGACCTTATCCTCTTTTCGCCAGATGTTTTCTCTGATTTCCTCTTGAAAGGGGGCGTTGATGTCGATCTTTTCCCAGGGCTTTTCATTTCTGGGCATTTGAGCCGCTGTTTGTCTAATGATTGACTCAAGCTCCTTGGGTGGTGTCTCATAGTTTTCTCCCTCCTTGAGTTCATCTTGATCAAGTAGAATCACATCAGTAGCACAGTTGACTAAGAGATCTCTGAGATATGCTCTTCGCTGTGATTCATCTACATCTGTCCAGAGTTCAGACCATTTGTTGTGCACCAGCATTTCCTCAAGTTCATCGTGCATTTGCTCATTGTAGTAGTTGGAGGGAGCCTGCTGCTGTTGCGGTGACATGTCTGGCGTAGCATCGGGATCCTGGTGAGACTTGCAGGGATCCTCAATTATCTCAACACGATGCTCTTGCGCAGAGACCAGACCTCTATACTTCGTTACATGCGGCCAATCCTCCCTTGGCTGAGAAAGTGAAACACCGGGATCCTCAGGATTGCCCGTTGTCATCAGTTTCGAACTAGGTTCTAGCTGATGGCCTGAGTAGGAAGATGTACTCGTGGTAGCATCATCAGGACTTCCATTCCGTCCTTGGTTAACATCTATAGGAGATGCACCTCGGGATGTTATGTCTAGCTCGACCATGCTAGAAAGAGTGGCTAGGGATTTATGGCTGGCCGAAGTAGTGGGTTGATCATTGGTAGAGGTGGAGGGTTGGCTAGTAGAAGCAACATGCTCAAGTATCCGTTGGCGCTTGTTCTCCCCCTCATGAGAATCCGAATCATCGCGATCCTCATGTGAACGTTTAGCGCCACGGAGACTGTCACGGCATGTGTTCTGTGTATCTAGAGCATGGAGAAGGGCTTTTTGAAGAGGGGTGAGGTTGCCTTCTTCCACGTCTAGTATACGGTCGTAGATCTCAGCTACAAGATCCTCGAAGGGTACAGTTGTTAGGTTGGGTTTGGTCGTTGTAGGGGAGAATACTAGTTCTGTATCCTGGGTTCCCCTTGATGTGGATGGTTGTTGGTTTTCTATGACTAAAGGTTTGGAAATAGGAATGGAAATGGTTGGGGGCTGTGTTGTTTGAGGTTTGGGTGGTATATCCTGAACAACTGGGGTACTTCCAGAGTCTTGTGCATTAGCGGTTATTGCTTCATGCACCCATGGCTTAATGGTAGACTCTAGAAAGCTATTCAGATATACGAGAATGTCTTCGGGGATAATGGTACCAGTTACAGGGGTTGTAACTGTTGTCACAGCATCAGTGAAGATAGCTGATGTGTGGCCTGCGTTCAATGATCGAGGCATTGTTGGCATAGCAGGGCTTCCGACCATCATAGTTTGCACTCCGGTCGTTGCATTCAGGGTGAGTGCACCTGTATGTGCAGTGAATAGTGTAGGTGTCTTAAAAAAATTCAAAAATGTAGGAATGGCGACACCTAGACTCGATGTGATTGAACGAATGGGGTTAGTGGTCTGGGGTTGATGACCACTAAGATGCTCAACTGATTCAGAGGGAACCAGTGAGTTCGGTAAAACCTCCCCTTGAGTTATTGAAACTCCAGTCTATTGGGAGACTGGAGAGTGTATGGGAGATGGCTGTGCATGCGCAGTTGAACCGGATGCTGCGACTTCTACCCGGGAACTGACAAGGTCAGCTCCTGATCCTAGGGGCGTGGTTCGGTCTATAGTGACGAAGGTGTCACAGTCATCGTACAGTGCCAGCTCCTCCTCCACTGCACTCTTCTTTCTGAGCCTCTTCATAGGCTGTGATGATGCAGGCTTTTCATTGCGTTTCTTGGAGCGCTGCTCACTAATAATGATCCCCTTGAGTGGTCGGGGTGTGAGTGCAGCCTCCATTTCTTCGGATGAGGAGTCGGAGTTGATTGGAATGGCCTGTTTGCCAGCTCTTCTTCTATTACTGAGCAAAACTCCCTCCATGTCATCATCATCATCTGCATCATCATCCTCATCATCATTCCTCTCCTTTCCCTTGGCCATGCTATCAGAGGCCTCACCACCAGCCTTATTAGAAGGGGCCTGGCTTGATGGTTCATCGGCAGTGTCCTCAGCATAAGGGTGGCCCTCAGCAGTCTGGGTCCTCTCGGAAGAGTTAGCAGACTGATCATCATTAGGCCGGGTTGCCACTGGTTTCTGTGGCGGGGCTCTCTTCTTCTTACCCTCACTCGCTCTCGGCTTGGTTCCCGGGGAAGGTCCAGCTGGGTTTTGTTGAACCATAGGAACCGTTCTCTTCAACGACTCTTTGTAGTCAATGACTGCCTTATCCCTTGGGTTTGCTAGGTCAAGCAGGGAGTCCGGAATAGGCAGTGCTTCAGCTTTATTGCTGTCTCTCTGAAAGTACTTGAGCTTGGGCGCAGTGAAATGCTTGTCCTCCTTACGCTTTGGCATTGTCGGGGTGGCTTCCATAATGTCGTGGATGATCAGCGCCAGCCACCGAGCGTAAGGAATTGTGTTGCCCTTATGATTCTCCTTCATTTTGACCTGATCCATCAGCTCTGTCCAGAAGAGCTGGGCCATATCATACTGTTTGTCAAACGCGATCCCATGGAAGATTTGTAGGATCTGCTTGTTGCACTTGTCATGTCCGGCGTGCTTTGGAGATAGGCACTTGTTCACCAGGCCGAACAGACTCTTCCATGGGTGGGGCAGGTTGGAGATAGTGAAATTTGACAGCAAGGGCAGCGGGCTGTCATAGCCTAGATCCTTCATCCCCTTTATCAGCTCTTCGTTTGAGGGGAGTGGTGCGTAGTGTTTGAGCACTGGGAGCTTCGATGTCTCCCTGATTGTTGATGGTGTCAGCACCACTCGCACGTCATTCAGTTTGGTCATTATTTTCGACCTGTCCTTCTCTGAGGCTGTGTGCATCAGGCCCCAGAACTGTTGTAGATACACCTCTGGCACTGGTTTGGCTTCATTAAATGCAGACCAGAGGTAATGCTTCTGTAGGATTGATAATATCACTGGATCCTGGCATTT